TTGATTTTCATCTGTGAGCTCAAATATTAGTTTGTTTAGCTTTTGGTTCTCTTCATTCTGACATACCATTGATCTAGTTGTGCTGATTATATCCCTTTTTAATTTCTGATTATCAGTCATGAGTAAACAATATTTACTCTTAAGTCTCTTACATTCTTCTTGTAAGTTTATTAGAGCATTTAGAAAATATGTTTTTGATTCTAAACTAGTTTCTTCATTTTCCTCAGACTCAGAATCGTTGATTACCTGGTAGCAGGATGGAGAGGCCTGATCTTTACTGCTTGAGGACTGGTAGTCATCTTCTCTGTTGGTGGCAAACGCCATGTAAGCCAGGTCTTTCGTCTCATGTTCCTCATCTGAGCTGAGGTCACTCCACGATGCAGCCATGGCTTTTTCTTTAGCTTTCATCCCTGCAGGGCATTTTGACCTAATATGTCCTGTCTTACCACACTTGTAACAAACAGTTAGATCCTTTTCATTGGAAGACCTGTGGTCTTCCTTATCAACTTTGAGCCTTTCTCGACCATCAGAAACTCTGTCATAAGACCTTGAGGTACTTTTATCCAGATATGGTTTGTATGAAACATATCTTTCATTTGTTTTAGTAGGAATTCTTTCTGCTCCTTCTCTGTCCTTTCTTTGTTCGGATAGATAATTATTAGACTGCCTAGGATCTCGAAATGCTTTCTTAGCTTGAAATTCTTTTTTCATTTTAAGCATTCGATGAAACTTCCTACTTACAAGAGAAAATTCCCTCTAAAAATCTTCTCCCATGTCTGTCTCAGACTCACTATCATATTCTTGAGCTTTGAAAGCAATGACCTTTCTTCGTCTATGATCATCTTTATTCATTTGAATTATTACTTCTTCGTGACTAAGTAAAGATCCTACTAGCCTTTCGATAGACAGTGTGTTCAGGTCCTTGGCTTCCTCTATAGCAGTTCGCTTAGGTAGCCACTCCCTGGGTAAACATCTAAGGATTTTGCGAACAAGATCCTTTGTTTCAAACATTTTTCCTAGACCTTTAAGTCTATTTATTAGATCATTAAATCGTTTGTACATGCTAGATATTGATTCACCTGAGCTCATCTCAAAAGATTCATATTCATTTAACAAAACATCGATTCTACTCTCCTTAACTTCAGACGTACCTTCATGAGTTGTCTGAAGTGACTCCCAGATTTCCTTGGCGGACTCGCATTGTGCCACCTGACTTCTTTCCTCTGGGCAAAGTGCTGAGAAGAGTATATGCATGGCCCGTGAATTGAGCTGTGATGATATCTTTTGCTCTTCTTTCCACTCTTCTTCGTCTTCATCATTCATTGGGATAGGTCCTTTTCGAACCACAGCCCATAGCTCCCCATCAACTCCGCGAAGGTAGATCCTCATTTTCTTTTTCCAGACTGTGTAGTCTGTTCCATCGAACCACGGAGGATTTGTGTTTGCGGAATAGGAAACTGCAGTTGATGATGATCCTGACATTTCCATCAAAACTCTTTGGCGATGATTAATCCCTCAAAGAGCAGGCTCTGATACCAATTGTGGAATCAGAGTGAAAAGAAAAAACGAAATTTTATTGAAATTTTGGAAGATTACAGAACGTAAGGAAACAATGAGAAAACCCTAGCCAAGCCAAGAAGCTTGGCTCTTTGCAAACGAAAAAACACTCAAACTCTCAAAGACCCCTTTCTTTGCAAGAGACAATCACCCGGTTTTATCCACCCTATGATTTCCCTACTGAAGAAGGTTCGAAGCTGGACACAAGAACAAAGCAGACATCTCAATCTCACTCTGTCTAACAACTACAGGAAAAGAAGATACAGCGAAAGCCCTTTTATAGGCACGGTCACAAAGTGACCGTTTGAGCAGACCTCAGACCCGTTTCCTATACTCATGATTGTAGAAGGGTAGAGCTGTAGAGCTGAAGGTCGGCAGCCTGGTTTCTCGTGAGAGAGTGGAGGTCTGCGAAATGAAACGCTCGAGAATGGAGAGACAGGAGCACTTGCGAAGGACGATGCTTTTGGTCGCCGTTTCCTTTGATCGATACGACATCGTTCTAAGTGTCCCGAGTTCAACAATGCAGAAACACCGTTTTGCTGAAGCTTGGTCTTCAAGGCACATCCAACATACTTCACGAATCCAACCTTCCTTAACCAGCTAATCATTAGGCAGGGTGCAATTTCCAACTGCTAAAGTATTTGAAAGGCTTTGGTAGGACTGTAACCTGGCACTAGATTTATGTAAATCCATAATGATCTGAAAGTTCTGGTGGTAGATTCTTAAGCGAGCTATGTGAGTAGTGAGCAAGCCACTCACAACTCACCAAGACTCTTTGTTATAGGATTCACCTGCTGTTTATTAGTCTATGTAAACCAGGATCCTACATGTTATCCTTGGCGAGAAGTGAATCGAGCAGCCCATTTAGTGCGACGAAATGCCTTATGTTATCCTGGCCGAACTTCTATTTTGTATGACTTTTCTTACCTATTACTTGGCTGAGTCCTGGTGAAGGAGTGTCGTAATTGTTGTGGCATTTCCTTGATCTTACCTATAGCATCCACGGGGATTGATCGAAAAAGTGATATATGCATTAAATCGATATCCTTCTCACGACCTAAATGATTTGTTGTTGACATTTTTGTATCCGTACCACCACCGTATTGTCGCTCTCAAAATATCACGGTGTGGCCATGGTAACTACATATATGCCAAAAATGTGCAATTAGTTATGTTCGGACGTGAATAAATGTACGAGGATGGAGACTATACATATAATCATATACTTCTTAGTTGCATTTAGATAAGTGTATTTGAAATATATGTATTTAAAAGGCATTTATTTGAAATAGGATAAATTTCGAGTTTGGTAACTGGATTTACAAAAAAAATTATGTTTGTCACTAAAATATTTTATTTCATTTGTGGTCACTAAGATTAGTTCAACGGTTCAAGTTTGGTCACTCTCCGTTACCTTCCGTCAGTCTCTGTTAACGGATATGCAGTATCCGCCCCGACCCGACCTGTTCCATCACTAGATTTATGTCTAAGAAACTACTATTCAGCTTTTTGCAACTCTAGAAGGTGGACCATCGCCTCTTATCTTAGCCAAAAGTCTAAGAGACAGGGTGCTCCAAGGGTTTTATTTGAGCCACAACAAGCTCAACAACAAATTTGGCTCTCTCATGTATATAAGAGAAATGGGCTTCATTTAGCCTACACAATTTTTCTTTTATCTTCTTCAGCTTTTGATAGACAGAACATTTGTCCCTCGGATACATCATGACTCCAACCTTCCTTAACCAGCTGATCATTAGACAGGGTGCAATTTCCAACGGTTAAAGTATTTAAAAGGCTTTGGTAAGGACTGCAACCTAGCATTAGATTGAAGTAAATCCATAATGATCTGAAAGTTCTGGTGGTAAATTCTTAAGCGATCTATGTGAGTAGTAAGCAATACACTCACAGTTCACAAAGACTCTTTGTTATAGGATTCACCTGCTGTTTATTAGTCCATGTAAACTAGGATCCTACATGTTATCCTTGGCAAGAAGTGAATCGAGCAGCCCATTTGGTGGCACGAAATGCCTTACGTTATCCTGGTCGAACTTCTAGTTTGTATGACTTTTCTTACCTATTACTTGGTTGAGTCCTAGTGAAGGACTGTCGTAATTGTTGTGGCATTTCCTTGATCTTACCTATAGCATCCACGGGGATTGATTGAAAAAGTGATATAAGCATTAAATCGATCCCCTTCTCACGACCTAATTGATTTGTTGTTGATATTTATGTATCCGTGCCACCACCGTATTGTCGCTCTCAAAATATTATGGTGTGGCCATGTTAACTACATATATGCCAAAAATGTGCAATTAGTTTATGTTCGGACGTGAATAAATGTACGAGGACGGTGACGATAAATACAATCATATACTTCTTAGTTGCATTTAGATAGGAGTATTTGAAATGTATGTATTTAAAATGCATTTATTTGAAATAGGATAAATTTCGAGTTTGGTCACTGGAATTACAAAAAAAAAAATGTTTGTCACTAAAAATATGTTATTTCATTTGTGGTCACTAAGTTTAGTTCAATGTTTCAAGTTTGGTCACTTTCCGTCACCTTCCGTCAGTCTCTGTTAATGACATCGATTTTTTACATACGTGATTAACAAAAGTGTCCAATCAATAAATTTTAACCTGAAAAATTAAACCCAACCTGCCACATCATATAAAAACAGCCAAAGATTTGCTGCTACTGATAGAGACATTTTATGAGGGCCTGAAAAAGGGTTAATACCTTATTTTTGCCCGAACTATGACCATATAATCAACTTTGGCCTGTTGTTTGAGAAATTAACATTCTGACCTCAACTATGCAGCATATAGACTCAATTGGGCCGACACATGGTTTGACCGTCAATTTGGACGGTGAACACCGTTGACCGTTAGTCAACACGCCATGTCATTGCCTCGTCAGCCTAAAAATCATTTAAAATTTCAATTTATTTTCCTAATTTCTATTATTTATCATTTTCAAATTAATCAAGAAATAAAATTTAAAAAATTTGTAAAAATCTTATTATTTTTTGCTAATTTTTAAAATTTATCATTTTCAAATTACCCAAAAATAAAATATAAATTTATTTTTAATTTTTGGTTAATTTGATAATGATAAATAATAGAAATTAGAAAATAATTTGAATTTAAATTTTTAATGATTTTTAGGCTGAAAAACAATAACAAGACGTGCTGACTAACGGTGAACACTGTCAATTCATGTGTCGCCCAATCCGGTGGATTCGCAGTACGGATTGTGATTAGGCGTTTGGGTTAGAGCCCAGAGGATACGCAAAGCTAGAGCCTGCATACAATTATTACTTGGTGGTACAATTAGAGGCCCGGATTTCTGAAGGGACCCAGGATATCCAATGTCATGCTAGATGGGCCCTATTTCACCAGAATAAGTATTACTTTTAGGCTGCCAGCCCACTAACTCCTCCAGCCTCCCGCCTCTACTTCTCGTCCCGCTCACCGTTTCCAATTCCAGCGCAGCAGATTTCACGGCTACTTCCCGGCAAACCAAGTTCCCCGCCGGAGATATAAAACGAAAACCAGTCACAGGAATCAAAGGAATGGAGAATGGCCTGATCTCCGTGGACCGTTGGACGGCGGGAAGCCAGGTGTACTTCCTGACGCACCTCCACTCCGACCACACCCAGGGTTTGACCTCCGGCTGGGCTCGAGGCCCGCTCTTCTGCTCCCGCCTCACCGCCAAGCTCTTCCCCACTAGGTTCCCGGACTTCGACCTCACTCTGCTTCGCGTCGTTGATATTGGCGTATGGAATTCAGTTCCTCTCGTCTCCCCTTCATCTGGATCTCGGACAGTTGCTCGAGTAATGGCAATCGATGCTCACCATTGTCCAGGTACGCCCTCTGTTCTTCGTAATTGGAGTTTCGTAATTTTAGGTTATTACTTGTAGCACACCAGGTGTTTGTTTTTTGTCCTTTGAGAATTGGGGGAACATTGGGACATTTTGAACCTGAAATATTTCGATTCGAACGATTTGAGAGCTATTAGGGCAGTAATTTTCCCTTACATCCGTAGATTGTTCAAACTCTTGGAACTTGTGATAGGCTAATAGGATGAAGGAACTGGTTAGCAGGAGCTGTTATGTTCTTATTTCGTGGCGATTTCGGCTGCCTGCTTTACACTGGCGATTTCCGCTGGGAGACAACCGGGGAGAGGGCAAAGATGGGGAGAGCCATGCTTGTCAATGCTCTCAATGGCAGAACAGTCGACAACCTTCACTTGGATAACACATACTGCAACCCGTCTTACGACTTCCCGCCCCGTGAAGTTGCTGCTCAGGAGATTGTCAATCTCATTGCCTCCCATCCTAAACATGATGTTGTCATTGGGATAGACTCCTTGGGGAAAGAAGATCTCTTGCTCCATATTGCACTTTCTCTCGGCATCAAGGTATCTGAAATATTCCACGATGGCTTGTTTAGTTCAGCTTTGAAATTGGATTGGATTCAGCCTAACTCTGAACTGCTTGTGTTTTCCTGTTGCTGCAAGATTTGGGTATGGCCAGAGCGTTTGCAGACCATGCATATCCTAGGGTTTCACGACACCTTCACAACCAAGACATCGCTAACAAGGGTTCGAGCTGTCCCTCGTTACAGTTTCAGCATTGAGACATTAGAAGCCCTCAATGCAACGCGGCCAACCATAGGGATCATGCCATCCGGTCTCCCATGGGTGGTTAGGCCTGTCAAAGGAGATGCCAATCTCTCCGGTTCTCACTTGACCGCTCGTTACAAGAAAAGGCAGCCTAGTGGGAGTTCCACTGGTGTGGAAAAACTCCATCAGTACATGTATTCAGTTCTGTATTCTGATCACTCGTGCTTTAGTGAGATACAGGAGTTCATGGAGCTAGTCCAGCCGACTATTGTGAAAGGGATTGTGTGTTCGTCGGCTTGTTACGTGGAGCCACTCTACTTCTTCGGCCGTCTCTGTGGAGTGTTTTCTGTGGATAGCCATGTCCAAACGAAGAGAAGAAGTGAACGGGCAGCTGATGTGGAAATTAATAAATCTGCCGCGGAAAGTGGGGTGGAAGCAGTAAGGAAGAAAATGAGATCAAGGGCATATTATGCAGCAGGAGGAGTTAAGGTGAGCAGGACCAGTGTGCTGAGACGGGTAAGCCGGGGTGCCAAAATCATGGACAATGACTCTGCTGACTGAGAACTGGTCACAGTGAATGAAATTCGTATGAATCGTGATAGCGGGTTTACTACGTTTGGCTGGAAATATTTACGGACTGACGACTTGGGCGAACTCTGGTGAGAAGTAAGATTGAACATCCCTTTTCTGTTTCTTACTTGGCTTGATTGATTTGATCGACCTGTTTGTATGAGAGGTCGTAGAAAACTACTTGGAATGGAAGATAGTGTAGAGTAGAGAGCATAGGCACGTCATAATTGCTTCCATATAATTGGTCTCATTTGGCTAACTATGATTTTGAAAGAGTTAATTGGTTGTGCTAATGGTATTTGATGACCATCAAGTATTTGGTTGGTAGGCCAGGGGGTGATTATTTGATTTGGGAAGATATGATTTGTATTCTACTTTCTTTCTAGTGCCATATCTGATTTCCTAGGGAAAGAAAAGTCGATGGTAACAACTAGAGGCGTCGCATTCTTTGCTCCTTCAAATTTGTCCTAATTGCTTTCTTGCTGCTGGCCTGTTAGCGTCAAGTGACGTGCAATTGGACTGGCAGTGACGCGGGAGGAGGGCCATGTCTCCTGAATGATGGACGAGGGAATTGAAGGCTCAAGTTGGACGAAAGGGAAAGGACAAGTAGAAGCTTTTTAAGGGGAAACAAATTAATTGCGGTCATGTACCCAAACCAAAAAAAAGTGAGAGAAATTGTGGTTTCGGAAATTTGTTACCAACTTACCACCATGCTGAAAATGTCCACTAACCATGATTGGCATCTTCTTGATGAAAATTTTGTAAATCAATGACATTTACATGGATTCAATGAATTGAAAGTTGTTTGTTGTATCTATTTGGAGGTTACATGTTCGAATTCATTAAGTAACACCTAATATTAAAAATTTATTTATTTTTTTGCATCAGTAGGAGGCACAAGGCCAAAGAAGACAGAAAACAGGGGGAGCAGCGAACGATCAGATGGAGGTAGTAGAGGTATCGATCACAATATTTATAGGATACGTGACCCCTCTTTGGTCGTCCTGTAAGATGGGAAAGAGCTCTTGTGGGGGATCTTCTAGTTCGTACATATCGTAGGGATAGACGAGACTGTGCTTCGAGAGCCAGTCCGCGACTCTATTCCCTTCCCGATATGTATGGACCAGATTCACCACTCAGTCTAAAGAAATCTTCCTCCTAATAGCCGAGAGGAGCGCTGCGTACGGGTGCAGAGGATCACTCCTGTTCTTCACTAGTTGGATGGCCATTTGAGAGTCAGACTCGATGATGAGGGTTCTATAACCAAGCTTCCAACCCAAATTCAAACCATGATAAATAGCCCAGAGTTCCGCTGCAGTTGCTGAGCAAGAACCGAGGCTTGAAACGAAACCACCTGCCCAGCTGCCATGAAGAGAGCGGACAACTCCTCCTGCCCCGGCCATCCCCTGCGAGCCATTAGCTGCCCCATCAACGTTGATCTTCGTCCACCCTGCAGGTGGAGGCTTCCACCCAATCTCCATAATGGCACGGTTTGGGGGCTGGTTCATTCTACCGCCGACAGAAGAAGGAGCATTCCACGCCCGGAACCACAATAATCGGGTGATTTTACTAATGGAAGTTTTTTAGATATACCCAATTGAATGAATTGAAAGTGTAACTTTAATATTTTAAGATGACGATTAATAATTTTCAGCATAAATACTAGTTATTCTTTAAAAAAAATTGAATTAAACAAAAGAGGTGGGATTTCCGTTGGAAGCAATTGGAGCAATCTAGATAGATAGATTAGTCAGATCGATAGGGGAAACATCCTTTTATCACAGTTTCTGCGCTGCTAGGTCTGCTACCATACGAGGAAATGGGATTTTGATCAAGTCAAAGACAGAGAAAGATAGCATGCACTTATAAATTATGGAAGTTATTCGTTCATTCAATTTCATTCCTTTGATTCTTTTCAGGACCATCATTTTCTTTTGCTTAGAATTCCCATTTCAAGTTGTCTTGCAATTTATCTATTTGGGTAAAACTAGGAATGACAAGGAGTGTGGGTGAAATTAATTTTTCTATATATTATTTTTGAATTACAGTTTTAAAATAATAACCATCTCTGAAATGAAACCTATGCGAAGATGTAAGACGGCATACCAAAAAATCTACTTGTGTCTGGTTTGGAAAAACCCATGCACAGCATCCACAGATAATCATATTTAAAGTTATTGATGTAAAGTGAAAATTTTCTTAGAATGTTACTAAGATATAGATTATAAGAATGAGGGAAAATGAGAGAATTTTGTCTAAGAGATAATTATAATGCTTGAGCGATATGAATGCTTGATTCATTGAAATTAGTGAGTCTAAATTATAGTTGTAGCACATATTTATACTTAAGATACCAAACTCACACCATATCCATTACTCTCTTTACGAGGTTTAAGAAAAATCCATCCAAAAGTCATTTCGATGGAATTTGCTCCTACTAAATAGATTCAATTATGATTGAATGATAGTTTTTTTTTTTTTGGGTAAATGATTGAACGATAGTTTGTTTTCCAGTACAATGCCATTTTACGAACAACGATATTGAAAATGGCAGCAACAAGTTACTGAGACTCTGAGAGGATTTCCAGGCAGTCAGTGTAATGGGTGGTTTGGATTTGGTGATTGACTGATAGTTAAATTGGAGTAGTAATGTATAATAATATGTATATAAGAAAATTTGTATATTGCAGATTACATCGTTTGATTTATATTATATGATAGTTATTGTAGTATTTAAATAATTTATATTAATTTTTGAGTGAAATGTCATTTTTAGTTTTTATTTTTTGTATAAAAAAACACACATAAAAAGGTAGAGACATAGTTGGAAGAAAAAAACTCCAACAATCTCAATCTAACAATCTCACCCAAAATTCGATATTTAACTATCACTCATTTTGAGTGATAGTTTGTGTCAAATCAAGTAAACAATTCATGTATTATTAGTGCAGAAAATAAAATAAAAAACAATATTTAGTGGACAATGCATAAATTGTAACTATCCCAACCAAACCACCTCGTAGTTTCCAATCAAGAGCGTTGGATGACTAAAGCAGATCCCTCCCATATTCCCACCTTGGAATTGTAATGAATAATTCTCTCGAAGCAAATCAAAGCAAGAGAAGAATGAATGCTAGAGAGAGACCCTCAAGTCTCAACCAAATTTCTGGTCCATAGTCGGTCCACAAAAGCTAGCTAGGGTTAGGAAGAGAAGAGTCCAATACAACATAGCTCACTCCTAACACCAATTTAATTCGGGGAAAATGATACGATTTTGCTCACAGAATTTATGAATCAGTGGCAAACCTTCCAAATATGTACAAGTTTTCAATTTTCTTAGCTAGAGGATATTTGACCTCGCTCTCCATCGGCTTAGGGAGCAATTTCCCGTTGATTTTTGGGGCTCGTAATTTTGAGTCAAACCAGCAAAATTTGATATGATTTTCAGTATTAGTGTATTAAACCTGCTAAGAAGTTAGCTTCTTTCCATGAATAATTTAAGAGGAGGGTAATGATGTTGAGGAAAATTTATATATGTCTAGCTTAGAAAGAGTCACCATGACACCACCTCAGGCTAGAAGCAAGGATGCATATCTCTCCATTAACCAACAATCCATGCTACAAATCTCTAATTTCTCAATTTTAAGTCTTCCATTTTTTTTTCTTTTATGTTACACGATTGGTATATGAATATGGTTCTCCACAATCACACACCCTTGACATATCCCAACAAAGTTATCTTTTTGTACTCGTCCAAATCTAATAGCGGCAAGAAACTCGATTATGAAGGATGATAAGTGCTTCTAACACCTCTTTTTTATAAATGTGCTTCTTCTATATTTAAAATCTAAGACTCTACACAAAAGTTCCTAGCCCCATTGAAACACCAAACATGCAATACAATGAAATGATTTAATAAAGATGAACCATACCCATAAGCCACTGAAATATCAACATAATCATCCATAATGTCAATATGAACTTTCTTTGCCCCAGCATGAACCACACAATAAGCTGCCTTGCATAAAGCATTAACTTAGAGATAAAAATTTCGATTTGACCAGTTTTACCCTACTTGTTTAGTATGTTTTGGGGCGGATAGACATAGCGGGACAAGCATGGGTACTCCACTCGACTCGACATGCCCTGACCCGCCTTATTATCGATCCTTTTTTCTAAATTATATGTAATTTAATTAAAATTACTTGGAATTTTACTTGGTTTTTAATGAAAAAATAAATATTTCTAATGTTTTCCCTGTTAAATTACGTATACATATGAATTGACCTACCTGACCCGCACCTCATTATAAATTACCTGATGTGGTCTCAACATACCATAAGACAAGTATGGGTATCATAATAGTGTCTCGCCACGGAAACACCACATTTTAAATCCCGACTAGAGCTCAAGCATAAATTCTAGCCGGGTGCAGTATAGGGCAAGTATGTTTTAATTGTCAAATCCGGGCTGACCCATGTACCCCTACTTCAATCGGTCAATTTGTTATCTAGCAAGCGTTTTTACGTTTAAAACTAAGAAAACTACAAATGAAAACAAGCAAGTAAAGTAAATTGAGGTTTTCCCAATGAGAGAAGAGTCCACCCGGGTATTGCTCCCCCTACCTACATATCAAGATCGCCCAAATCGAATGCAAATATGTGGAGGTGTGTTAATACACCGTAGGAGGGCGCAACAAGTGAAGGAAATATCACTCTCTTAATCAATCGGTTAAGGAAAACGATTAAGTTAGGAACCTTAGCTCTCTCAATCAACGGATTAATGATTGCTACAATAAACTAGGGAGTCTAGCTCTCTTAACCTTTCAGCTAAGGATTGCAATAATAAGCTAGGAGTCCTAGCTCTCTTAACAGATAAAACTAAGGGTTGCAAGAAGCAATCCCTCAGAACTTAATACGGACGTCAAAGTAACACCCAAGTTAAAGTGCTAAATCAAAGTTTGAGGTTTGCCCTAATTTTCCCTAGGTAGGTGACTCAATTGGCCAAGAATCCAGCTTATCAAAGCCTCCTAACAAAAAGGGGAATTCCCTCTACCTAGGTCAAATTGGCATAGTAATGAGAAATGAAGAACACAATCCAACAATCATGAAAATACCTCAAACTTTGCATTAAACACAAACCCACACACAAAGCATTCAATTATACAATCTATCACATATTTCAAGCTAGGGTTCACAACACCCAAGTGAATAGGTAGACTATTCCATAGCTAGGCAAAGAAAAATAAGAAAAAGGAGAGAAAGAACCGAGATGACAATCTTCCTTCCTCCTTACTTGAATCTCCATTGAGAGGTAAGAATCTTCACTCCTCTAGCTTAGGGCAAGCCAATTCTCTTTCTTCCTCCTTTGAATGACACTTTCTCTCTCTAGAATAGGAAGAGGAAACCCTAATCTCTCACTAGAAATCCTCCTTTATTCTAAAACCTAAAACCCTACAAAAGCTCTCCCTCTTCTTCCTTCTACTGCAGACTTTATAGTCTGCAGAAATCAGCTCGAACACGGTCGTGTCCTCTGGCCGTGTTCTATCCCAAGTGCGCTGCATTTTGTCGTCAGCAAGAAAAACCATAACACGACCAGTGATCACGGGCGTGTTCAGACCATATTCTTCAAAACTCGATGAAAAAATACGTTTTTGCCCGACTTCACGGCCTCTTCATTGACTATCACGATCTGAGTGACCGTGATAATCCTCAATTCTAGTGAGATGGCAAAAGCCTCTGGACTCAGCTGCGGACACGGCCTATAAACACGGGCGTGTTCTGGGCGTGTTCGTGGAATGGGAAGAATCTTTTGGCACCTGAAACGCTGTCGTGTCTAGGCTGAAGGTGTTGAACATGATCTTGGAACACGGCCGTGTCCCTAGCCGCGTTCTCTCTGTTTTCTTCATTTTTTTGCCATTCTTGCCTCCTTTCGTCCCGAAACTTGTCCTCGACCTTCCTACACGTGCTAGGACCTGAAATGTATCAACAATAGCACAACCTAGCGTAAAATAGGTGGAGAGACAATGAAATGCAAAGTCAAACTATCAAGCAATGAGGAGTAAAATGTGTACAATTGGACCCGAATCATATAGCTACCCTAATCCCTGTTCACTTCCATTTTCGTTTCCTGTTTATAGTTTTTATGCCATAAATTTGGCAACCGAAACAAGAAAACTTGTTTACTTTTCATTCTATTTTCTATTCGTTTCCAATATGAAAACAGAAAGTGGCAACTTCCTGCTGTTTTCGGAAACGATAAAATGTTCTTTTCACCTATTTTCAACATCTGTTTTCTCGAAAACAGAAAACAGAAATGAAAGTAAACATACCCTTAAGCCTGCCATTGTCATCCCTAATTGATTTGACCCTTATATTTTCCTTGTCTCCTCCTTCGCAAAGGATATGAATGAGGTTTGGGGCTACTGGTTAGAGTGATCTTTCCATTGGAAATTAATCTCACACAAATCACAAAACAGAGAAAAATGCCACAAGCTACATGCGATAGATGTCATATCAAGGGAATGCTTTTCCCATTAATTGATGCAAACTTCC